TTATATATCAACAGCTCCTTGCAGACTGTTTAATAAGAGCTCATGCACTAGTGTTATGATTTCTGTAATGAGAGTGACGACCCTAATCTGACCCTGTCTGTGAACCCTTCATAAGGCAGTAAAGGCTGAGGCCAATTAGGATGGGATCGTTTACAGTAGATGACACCCTTTGAACGAGAAAGTGAGAAAACATGCCCCAATTACCGGCCGGTGATGTCATCCCTCGCAGTCAGACACACTTGATTCGTACATGATGTGACGGATGAACTGAGAGCCCCAGTGCTTCTGAGAAACATGCAGAGCAAGTTCATAACAGGGAGGAGGCATAAGCTTCATGACACAACACTCATTCACTGCCTTTGACCAATGATTTCCACATTGCATTTCATATATAGATAAGTATTTCCCTTTATTCATTAGCCATCAGTGTAGCCGACTTGTATTTTCTCCAAAGAGGGATTTAGCAAAGGAAGAGAGAGTGAAGGTTAAGCCAAAGGCACACTAGACTCCGTCACCCTCTGAGGTATGCTTATTCGATTAGAGTCACACTGGGATGAAGACTTTAAGAGATAGTTTCTCATGTTTGGCTTTGCCCATACATACTCTCCTGAAACAGGCCTAATGTATCTTCAGGGGCAGATAACCTAGCTGAAATTTCACATTTAAAGCAAAGCGTGCGTCCTTGCTTTTAGATACTTTTCTATTGATTTGTTCTGTTATGTGAACAGCATGTATCTAAGATGGGCTGCCATCTGCGGGTTTAGAAGATGTTTGTATTCAAGGGTGAAACCCACAGAACCCAACCTCACCACGTTCACCTGTTGATCTACAAGGGGATGTTACATAACCCACTGGTATTGTTTTGTCAATTTCTATGGATTTACCAATAGCTAATTCTGCCATGTTATTGTTTGTTTTGTTTAGACCCATTTTATGGGCCTTGGAAATTATTTAAGAAAATTAGTTGATTGAGCAGGCCCACGGGGGCGCTTTTGCAACAGACTGAATTTAACTGCATAACTTGGGTGTTTAGTGGTTTCAGTGTCGGAGGAAAACACAAACTGAGTGTGATTATTCAATAACAGCTGCCAGTGTCACCATTTGGGGATGAACTTCTAATTTTGCAATTTCTGCAGAACCTTCATTGCTGTGTTACCATGAGAACAATAATAATGCAGAAGCTGTAATTTTTTTGGTCCTGGAGACCATTAATGTTATGAAACAGTAAAAAAAAACACACACACACAAGCAAACTGAAGTAGCGTGTATTATGCAGTTCTGTGTTCGAAATCCATTTGTATAATTTGTACTTTAGTTCGGAGCACATACACTTAACAGGTCATTCCATAAAATGTGTGCCTCTTCTATTATGAAAAGTAATTTTTTAGAGTTTCAAATGTTCTATCAGACAAAGAATGTCTTGAAAGAAATTGCATGATAATAAATTGCACTGTGCCATTTTTGGCCAAATTTAATATAAGTTGGGATATAGTTATGCCTTTTAAAAAATAACAAGGTTAACAGTTTTGCAGTTCATTTAGCTATCGCTAGATAATGAAACTACAAGGTGTTTATTAGAAAGACAATTTAATGCTGATATTTCTACAAATATGCAGTTTTCAATTATCTGTCATTTGCTGTCCTGGTAACATAGTGGATATTTTAAGATCGCCCCCTACTGACAAAATTAAAATATAAGGTAAAGTGATCAAAAAAAAAGAGAAGACACTTTCTTGTCCTTGAAGAGTTTATACGCTGAAAATATGTACAATTTTACATCAATTTGATTTGTGGGGGCTATGACACATAACCTGGCCTGGGAACACAATTTCAAGTCTATATAGATAGATGGATAGATAGATAGATATATAGATAGATAGATAGATAGATAGATAGATAGATAGATAGATAGATAGATAGATAGATAGATAGATAGACAGACAGACAGACTGACAGACAGACAGACAGACAGACAGACAGACAGACAGGTAGAAAAAAAAAAAGAGAAGACACTTTCTTGTCCTTGAAGAGTTTATACGCTGAAAATATGTACAATTTTACATCAATTTGATTTGTGGGGGCTATGACACATAACCTGGCCTGGGAACACAATTTCAAGTCTATATAGATAGATAGATAGATAGATAGATAGATAGATAGATAGATAGATAGATAGATAGATAGATAGATAGATAGATAACAAATTTTTCGTGCTAGTGGGAAAAGAACACAAACACTCAAAAATAAATAAATATCCTGCATTTATGTATAAAGAAAATAGGTATATGATAACACAGTTAAAGTTAGTATCAGCTTTTCATTGTTTACACATGTTCACAAAGGACGCAGAAGGCACTAATAGTAATGCCTGCTTTGTACACCCTCAGCTCACTATCAAATACAGTAATGCAGTGGCCCCTATAGGTTACCTTCTGCACAACAATTTAGCATATTTCTACGGTCTCAGTTTACAATTGTCATTAAAGTGTTGCTGAGATCCGCTGTTAGTGACTGGTCTCGATTCAATGACTTCTTTCTATTTACGAATGAAAACGCTGAGAAGAGTAGTAAAAGATGGTCCAGAGGGACTGTCCTGTTGCACGTTTTGCAAAATCGTTCATGATTAGAGAAGCAACGAGACGATTGGAGCTTGATTCAGTGCAGAATCAAGTGCTGTCCGTGGTGCTGAACCCCGGATCCGGCGCTGTCCGCTCAACGGTGCTGAAATCACTGAGGCGACCTATTGAATGAAACGCTCCTCTGTTCTCACTCCTCTCCGCACTCAACTTAGTAGCGCTGTCTCAGATGATGCTTTGCTCTCTGCTCTGGCGGCGCGAGCATCTCCAATGTAGATAAACTTATTTTCGCACTGGGGAAACGTAATGATATCGAATCTATTCTCGTTAATTTATATTAACATGACATCAAATGGTTTTCTCAGCGGAGGTGCCGAAGACCAAATGGCGTTATACTGATCCACCTGCAGTATTTGGGAGTTGATTTAAATGCCGCGGATAACTAGATGATCACGAGAAGGAAGTACATTTGTACAGATGTTTTGGATCTTTTTTCCTTCCTTTTCCATATTCTGAGAGGTCACTTAATGATCGGGGAAGGATAACTGCGTTTCTGGATATGTCATTTCAGAAGTGGGCATGATCAGCTTTCATTTGTAAATATTATAGACATTCGGATTATCTGTTCAGTTGGAGTAAGCACATTTTTGCACCAACTCGAATTGGAATGGTTTTTCTGGTCTTACCATCTCGAAGGTGCACTTGCTCGCTTGATTACGATTCCAACAAAGTGGAACCAGACATTTCAACGCGGTAAGTCTAGCACAGCCGCTTATTTAAAAATGTATTCGTGCTCATTGCAATACTTCAATACAATAATAATTATGATCATGATAATATTAATTACTTAAAATGCATTTCTCTGTACATTCAAGGCAGGCAGTCTCTACACAGATGCATTCAGCAAGCCAGAGGCAGTCATTTTATTATAGACTAAACGTATTGTCAATACTAGACTATCTTTCAGTGTATAAGAAACTCTTTCTTTGAAGTGCTTTCTTTTGGCAGCTACACTGCTTTTTATTTTTTTTTCTAAGTGCAGAATCGTGCCATTTTATGGTTAATTTCTTGTGCTTTCACGAGTGAAGAGGCATTTGGACCGAAGCCCATTACGCACTTGTTAATGACACAGAAACCGTGTCGTTTCTTCAGGGCTCCTGGAGTAGATGAAATTGAGGGCGTAGAAATGTACAGACACGGTCAATGCACACCTATCTGCAGTGCTATGAGGGATTAGAAGGTGGAGACCTGTTGTCTTTGGTAAATAGATATCCTGGCTAACTTTGTTGAGCACTGTTTATGGTGCCTGTGATTATCTGGGGTTTTGTTTGTGTTGATTTACCGACTTTGTTCTTCGGGGATTGTTTTCCCATACACACGCCTTTCTTTTGAAGCAATATCCTCACCACCTCCTGATCCAGAGCTTAATAATACCAGAGCCAACACATACTGTAGGAGGAAAACACACCTCGTTTATATGAACTGACTCTTCATCAGTCTGCGTATCTTCGGTGCATTCTGTTTGGGAACAAATGGCAGATCTTTAACAGAGATTAATCAGTATGGGAGACAGGGGAGTGCTGTAACATTGGGTGAGTTTTAACACCATCAGCTTAACCAATTAGAAATGAGCTACACGAATGAAATCACTAACATACATGATCACCATCCTCATGAGAAGACAATAGCAAGGAAAAAATAGTTAGAAAGCAAAATATCTTGTCTGGTTTACAAATTGTTGTAACCCTGAACCAGCTCATTTAGATTATTTAATTTAATATACAACATGTCTATTTTGCTTTCTACATGTTTATATCGCGACTGACCACATGTTTGACCATATATATACACACACATACATACATACATGCATGCATACTGATCTTTAAGAAATGTTCATATTTTATATTTGTAAATAAAAGTATTTTGTATAAAAAGTATTTATATCTGTAAAGCTAAATTTCTTTCTAGCATTCAAATATTGTTATGTTAAAGTAATTAATATGCTTAACATTTGCGATATAAATGCGTATGACTAAAAGTAAATTTGACTACCACAACAAATTCATACAGAACTTTTAAAACTCACACCAGTAGCGTGAGTATGACACTTGTTTATACAGTTCACTGTAGGTTTGTCATATATTTCTAAACTACTCTAACAAACAAATATAGAATAAACACATTTTTACAACACTCCCCATTCATCCCTATACATGGTTACTTCTCTCAGCAAAGTGTACTTTGATCATTAAAATATAGTGTGAGGATCTTTTTATTAGTTAAGATAAAGAAAATGCATGTCCAGTTATTAAGCTACGGGTTGTTTGCATTTCTTTCAGTGTCATATTTGCAGCATGGAGACTTACAACTTAAAGGACCTGAGACACTCTCCTTGAATGCGTCAGATTGCCGCGGCGAAGGATGGGCCCTTTTTTCCCGGCGATTTGCGTCGTGCTGCTCGCCCTGAACGCCGCTGTCTCGCTGGCCTCTGTCGGCCCTGGGGACTACCCCACCGTGGATGAGGCCGAGAGAACTGCCAACAATGACAACATTTTCGATGACTACCGAGGGAAAGGTTGCGTGGATGACAGTGGCTTTGTGTACACGCTCGGGGAACGCTTCTTCCCGGGCCACTCGAACTGCCCGTGCGTGTGCACGGAGGACGGACCTGTCTGTGACCAACCCGAGTGCCCTAAAATACACCCCAAGTGTACCAAGGTGGAACACAACGGGTGTTGCCCCAAATGCAAGGAGGTCAAAAACTTTTGTGAATACAGAGGGAAGACTTATAAAATCCTGGAGGAGTTCAAGGTAGGATCACTCTGCCTCCCAATTACCAGAATAATTACGTCTATGCAAGAATATGAGGCTGTTTTAAGAATTTAGCATTGCATTGTGTATCCCACATGCCTGTGGTTAATTATTAGGTGTGTCTTGCACTCCAACTGAAACTTGAACCATATACAGTGGAGAATCATAGGGATATAAAACGTCTAAAGGGAATAAGCCTTCAATTATTCTCAAATTGTGGATGGATTGTACTTTACACTGTTTGAATTTAATAATCAAGCCAGCAAGTTAAACAAATCGGCCTCAAGACAGCATACATGACAACATCTTTCAAATTCTCGCATCATATGTCAAAATCATGAGTGAGATAGATAGCTTTCAAGACGACATATACACTATTGCACCAATATATTCACAAATATATGCAAGAAAATGAGGCTGTTTTATTTGTTTATGTGGGTGGGTCCCTGCATGAGTGGAGTATGGGATATTGTGGGATAGTTTTGTGCTTGTTTTACTTTTAGAGGCTCATCATGATAAGCCCTATCCATCACTATCAACTGTAATTTGATTAGAGCTGTCCTACAGAAACAATCTACTTGACAAAGCAATCCATTTAAAACTAGTGTGCTTTTTCTCATGATTTTAGATTCAAGTTATTTATATTGATCGGAGGAAGAAAGCAAACCCATCAATCATACAACAAAGCACTGAAGCATTCTTAAAAAGACCCATCAGCCATAGATACATGAATATTGTACTGCATGATGAACCATTCGGCCAACTTGAGATTCATAAGACATTGGACTGACAAATAAATTAGTTATTTGGTATTTCATGACTGTTTTTTCAGACCTAACATGTTGTGAACTCTTTGGTGTTATGCCTCATATCAGAAGAGCACATATTTAACATTAAGTAGTCCATTAAGCAGTTGCAAATACTAGATATTTATCTCATAATATGTAATGTACTGTATATAAAACATAACTAACATCACCAGGACCCTTGTTTACTTTGTTCCATTTCCACTGGTAAATTAAATTAACGCATTTAGCAGACGCTTTTATCCAAAGTGACTTACAGTGCATTCAGGCTATACATTTTTTATCAGTATGTGTGTCCCCTGGGAATTGAACCCACGAGCATTGCGCTGCTAACGCAATGCTCTATCACTAAGCCACAGGAACATTGTAGGGTTGGTAGGGTTGCAAAAGACTCTCAGAACTATTCATTCTCTAAACACACGTAATGAGTTTAAGGTACAATGTCAGAGAATTGATTCTGCAACAGCAGGAAAGCGATTGATGAGATAACAACAGTAAAAATGTTTTACTTTCACCCACAAAGCTCATTTCCAGGATTAACGTGGGCTGTTTCAGCAAGTGCAAACTCTAATATAAGTTTTAGGTATCAACAAAGGGCAAAGCAATAAATCATCAAACACAAAATTAGTCTTTGGACTCCACCTCACAAGTGTGGAGTGGGGAGGATTGTTTCCTGCACTTGTTAGCACCATTTACGGATTTCATCTCTCTTGAGAACTCGAATTCTGTACCCTTCGGCATTTTCAGATTTTGTCACAGTAATTTAAATCTTAATATAAATATTCATGTTTAAAATCATATTAATGTAATACATTGTGACATTAATATTTTATTAATATATATCTTTTTTTAATTAATAACTGAATAATTTTTTGTATTAAAAATGCAATATTTTGTCGTAAAGATTGATGATTGATTTTCAAAAAGATTACTTAGGAAGACCATAGGAAATGTTCTTTGATGTTTCTGATATGTTATACTTCACTGGCCACATTGGTAATTATGTATTTAATCTTAACTGTAATGCTTTGGATCTTTTTCACGGCTTTGCACGGCATGTATCTTGAATCTTCTCTCTCCAGAGAACAAGATATCATTAACATTCATCTCATCCTTACATCTGATTCATTGAGTGTAATCTTGAGATCATGTAAATTCAGGCCTTTTTAGGCAACCTGTCTCCCGACATTAAATGTATTGCAAAGATTATTATCTTAAATTATATTACCAGAAGATCAAAACCAGAACAATGTTTAATATCAGGATTATAGTGGGGTGGAAAGTCTATGTAATTCACTCTCATCACTCTCTGGGTGATGAATTTCCTATCCGACAACATCTGCTATATTATCACTCACCAGTTCTGTTGTATCAACATGGGGCTGGCCAGCTTCAGAGCTGCTTTTTGACAAAATCAGCATTTTATCGCAGTACACAGTGTTTTCTTTGAGGTGTCAAGCTATATTCAGCTCCACATTCATTGGCCATGTCTCTCAGTAAACAAAGACTCAGTATTTAAGCTGGCACTTCACTTAGACCAACATCTAAGGAAACTTTTTGTGACTAACAAGAAGATTAAATTACATAATTGGCATTAGGGAAAGAATGCCAAAGTTAAGCAGTTTCTTTTTAATTAGGGTCTCAGAGACTTTTAAATCAAATCCATCTTTGTTAGGTGCCCGATTAGCCGACTAACGCATGTTTCAGCTAGACATATTTGCCCACGTAAGTCTGTTGATAAAAATATCAGGTCCATCAATACAGCATGTTCTCCCCAACCTTGAGTGGAAGGACAACTTATGATCTTTTATTACCTCTAAAACGGTTTATCTGGCTCTATTGATTACCTCCTGTCAAAATAGACCCTGGTTGAAAAGCCATAAACAAAGCCAAGCAAATCTTAACTAGCAGAAATCCCTTTTTGATCAGTTTTCCGCTCTGAATTTGACGTGCGCATTAAGCTAACGAGGCATCATCGCTCAATAGTGTCCAGTGAGATCTCTTTGAATTAAAAAGCAACTACTGAGGTCCAGCTGCGAATGGGAATCAAAGAGCATCATGGCGCTTGATAGCTGATCCAATTAAGAGAAGCTGACAGGGTAACCTTTGGTGTGGGCTACATTGGCATTTCCTCAGCCGTTCTTTATCGGGGACTGTATTTACTTGGCTAGGCAGGAGTGGGAGAAGCCCCACAGAGATATGAGTCTTACACGTGGAGAAGGCTTTTCACTGTAGAATGAGGCAGACCAATCAGTCAGCAGAGCCTTTTTTTGTTTCTAATTGCTGCAAATGACAGCCGAGTGATGGATTTTGAAGTGAAAGACTTGAAGTGCATTATCAAAGTTATGCATGCTGAACCATGTGTAACCCAGCTTGACCCAGACAGTTATGTGGCTTTTTAAATGTCACGATTTCAAGACTGAGGGTGATTGAAAAAGCTACAGGATTTATACCAACACAACAGAGTTCTAAACCACGGCAATAGCTCTACCAATACATGTCTTGATTTTTACAATGTTCCAATGAAAGTTCAGGAAGAGCATGTTCGTATAATCCTGTCAATCGAAACCTTGAGAGAATAAACTATAATGGCCAATTACTTCACTGCTCTGGTCCTGCACCTTTTCTCTCTGTGCTTTCTGGAGTAACGGTGTATTAGGATGCCAAACCAGCTCTTTTAGATCATATTAAATGGAATTTGTGAAATATTTTAATGATTTAATAAATGTAATTTTTTTGTACAAAAAAATGCAAGCACAGTGGTTAGAAAAAGTATTTGGACATTTATGCATCACTTAAAAGTGTATATCATTGGAATAGATCATTAAAAAAATAAAAATTAAATAAAAAAATACACAAGCAAGCACAAGTGCATACATATACACACATTATGGTTCAAAAATGCAGGGTCAGTAAGATTTTTTTTTTTTAAGAAATGAACACTTTTATTGATCAAGGATGTATTATATACAGTAAATACATTTAGGGCCAGTTGCATAAACATAATCACTATATTAAGACTATATGTTTAAGTACTAGTTTAGCTAGCCAAGAGGTAATCAGTCTTACTTTTTGGATTAAAATGAGATCAATCTACCTTTTTGTCACTGACTTTAAAATGGTATGACCAGTCTTGAAGAAAAAAATATATGAATAACTTAAGACTAGTCTAAGCAGTTTATGCAACCAGCCATTAATGTTACAAAAGATCTATATTTCTAATAAATGCTGTTCTTTAAAAATGTCCTGGAAAAGCATCCTGAAAATTACGGTTTACAAAAAAATATTAAGCAGCACAGCTGTTTTCTACATTGATAATAATAATAAATGTTTCTTGAGAACCAAATCAGCATATTAGAATGATTTCTGAAGGATCATAATGACTGAAGTAATGGCTGCTGAAAATCCAGCTTTGACCTCATAGGAATACATTTCACAATATTACTGTTTTTACTGTATTTTTTATCAATTCAATGCAGCCCTTTTAGTTTTAATAACTTTTTCTTATTTGTAAGTCGCTTTGGATAAAAGCGTCTGCTAAATGACTAAAAGTAAAAAGTAAAATAAAGACTACTAAAACAAAGGTCTGTCTCCAGAATCACAACAAGATTCCTGACTTGATTTTTAGTTGTCAAACCCCTAGAGTCAAGGTATGCATTCACCTTGAGAACTTCATCTTTGTGAAGCACCTGACATGGTAATTGAGGCCCAAATTAATCTCTGCCATGTTTAAATGCATCTTTTATCATACAAGCGTGTTTTTCACTACGTGACGTTAGTGACAAAGGTTCTGTGTGCGGTTCTCTTGTTGATCACCACCATCCTGGAGGTCAGGATTTATCTGCACTGAGTTTACAGTTCTTCATAAGAAACACAGCAACATTGCATAAACAAATAAGTAAGGTTGGGCGATATAATGGTAGACACCATAACAAAAAGTAGACATGTAGTTTAGATTTTTCATTTGTTTTTACGCATTCTAGCGTAATAATCAGTGAAAAGAACTCAATTTGGTACAGTGTGCGCAGTCTGTAAAAAGTAGCATCTCATAACCTTGCTTTTTTCCCCCAATTTTTTTTTTGTCCAGAAAAGAACAGGACAGGGCAAAAACACAAAAGAAGAAGAAAGAAGATCCCTCAGTCATTAAAGAACAAGAAGTGTAAGTTTGAATTCTATATTTCTGATTGTGTGTGTTACTTTGCATCTATTGATGCATGCTGATTATTTAGCAGAAATTGCAATATGCTTATTTGAATAGCATGATATATCAACATTGACTCACAGTATACAGTTTGATTATATCTATTCTAATATTTTCTCCAAAAATAGAATAGCTTTTAGTGAAAAGTTTGGATATGGGACTTTAAAAAGTTAATCAATGATTCCCAGAGGCACATAAACCTTAATCAGAACTTCATATTAACAAAAATAATGCAACCATACAGAACTTCAAAGCTCTAAGTAGTGAAGTGAAGTGACGTGACATGTGGCCAAGTATGGTTACCCATACTAGGAATTAGTGCTCTGCATTTAACCCATCCTTAAAAAAGCATTTTCAGTGACAATGTTTGGATTTGAAATCAAAATAATGGATAAATGTTGTGTTTGTGGTAATCAGCCACGGATCAGTAGCGGACTCCTGTGTGAAAGCTGCTTCCCCTCTCACAAGAGTCACCTAAGGGGGGAATTCCCCCCATTTTCAAAAATGAAATTCAGGCCCCGAATAAATGTCTAAAAATCCTGATTGGAATATCACTATAAATAGTTATAAATTATAAAAAGAAGGCTTTAAAAAGATCGGTATCTGTATCGGCAGATACTGCTTTCTGTGATCGGCAATCGGTGATCGGCCTCAAAAATCCTGATCAGAGCACCCCTAGCCAAAAGTACCCGTACTTCAGTACCAAGTCGATACTTAAATTTAAAAATGTAACCATACCAGTCTTTATGCAAAATGTGTATAAGAATATCTGTATCAGAATAGTGGATCGATCCAGTACCCGCTAATAGGCAGCAGCTTTTAGTCTTTACTGTATTTGTGTGAGCACTCTGTGAAGAGCATCAAAAATTTCAGTTTGAGTCACAGCGAACAAAGCACGCCAAATGAGCTCTGAATAATTTTATATTTCTCAATCGTTTTTAATTCGATTGTCATTCACAATACTTCGTGGGAGTTTTTTTCTTTCACCAAAACCGTTAGATATAGGCCTACAGTCTTGTACATGTCTTTTTGTCAGATTTTCATATACTGTACTTTTTTGCTTCAAATAAAAGTTTGTAATGTTGTGTTTCACCTTGAGGCTGTTTGGCTTGGTTTATGGCTTAAAGAGCTTTAAAAAAAATCTCTATGGAAAAAATGAATTGCAAAAAATACTTCAGAAACAAGTGCCACTGAAAAAGGGGGAAAGACTATAGCGGGTGAACTGAAGTAATATTAGCTTCATTGATTATAAAGGGAGTGCTCTTTGCTTGGATTCTCTATGTAGGCATTTATAATTTGACTAAAAATATTATTTTTCATGCTGCAATTTACACACTGCAAAGTTTCGAGAGTGAAGGAAAAATATCTATCAAAATAGAACTGTGCATTGTGTCGATCTTTTTAATGCAGTGTTTACATAATTGAACAATATTTTAAGGCTCCATGCTAATGTTTTAACATTGTTTACTTATTGTTTACTACTTAATACCATTAATAATTGACTCATTATATTAATTTTTTTAAATTAAACAATTAAAATATTTAAATTCAATTAAAATGAATGTAAAATAGTCACAATAGTTTAGCTATAGTACCGAAATTTACTGTATTCGTTTCATCTACTGAAATTCTGGTACCGTGACAACACTACTGTCCAGTAATGCAGCTAGATCACTAGATACATCCAAACAATTTATGACAAATGTACATTTTCCAAATTTTCAATTGGAACACCTGTTCTTGTAATGTCCTTACTCTTTTTGGATAAACTTCGAATTAGACATGACACAAATTTTTCATAAAACAAGATATTTGCAGACAAATGGTCTTATTTTTTTAAAAATCCATACTTGTCAAAATTTACCACTAATGATTTATCATATAAATATTCTAAAGCAGTATGTCACCCCACAATGATAATTCTGTCATCATTTACTCACCTTCACAACATTCCAAACTCATTGGATTTTCTCTCTATCTCTCTCACCTTCACAACATTCCAAACTCATTGGATTTTCTCTCTCTCTCTCTCTCTCTCTCTCTCTCTCTCTGTGTGTGTGTGTGTGTGTGTGTGTGTGTGTGTGTGTGTGTGTGTGAGTGTGAAATACCAAATATATTTGAATTAGGGGCTCAATGGACCATAAAACTCACAGATCAATTCATATTATGCAAAAATGTAACTTTGTGTTCTATTTATTACTTAAGTAGTTATTTGATACCCCAGCAAATACTACCAAGCTAATAAAGTTCAAACATTATTAATAATAACAGAACAGTCAGTAATAAAATGGGACCAACAACAGCTTGTTAAACAAAAGCTTGCTGAAACATGTATTCTGATATAAATTTGTAGGTATGTGTCTATTCAAGTGCGAGAAGACGCAACCGAAAACTGAATTCCGTGTTCTTGCACTTTCTGAAACACGTTAGTGTGTGCGCAGATAACAGCATGTGAGTACCAAATCGTGTTCTCTTCGCTTCTTTAATTGTTTAAAAATGCTTGCATGTTTAATTGTCAAAACTTAGAAGTGCATGTGCATCAGTCTATGACGGTTAAACTTTGCAACTAATCCATGAATCACATCCAAACGGTGGGGCTGGTCCGTACAGATCACAGAACAACTATGATCCATAGAACCCCTAATTTTAATTAATTGGCTGTTTTGGTCCGTACAATGAAAGTCAATGTTTTCCATAAGTTTCATGCACCAAAAATAAGTAATCTGTACAACTGTACAAACGGTACCAGTGGTATTACCAAGTCGTCTTAGCTAAATTATCACTTTAGAAGATTTTTACATCAGAATATCAAAAATCCAATTTATAACTTCTGTCAGGCCTAATCGAACATCACACACGTCATCACAGAAAATGAATTACAAATTTCAGTGCACAAACTTCTGTAGTGATAATTATAGTAATATGTAGTGCTGTCAAATGATTAATCATGATTAATCGCATCCAAAATAAAATATTCTTCTCATTAATGGAGTTAAGCATTGACATTACATAAAGTCATTATTCAAAAGTTAAACAAAAACTTATGAATTTAGATATTTACACATATTTGTAGTGGATGCGCTGTTTTTTAATCACTTTTCTTGTTGCATTCTGTTTTAATGGCAGCGAGGAGGGCTAGGCACACAGTAATGTTTCTTTAATCTGCAGATTTCATGTTAAGAGAAATAGTTTTAGCAAGAACATCAACGATGCGCACTTACTTTGATATTGTGGCAGACACTGCTGGATTCGGTGGTCGAACGGTCCACTGGCAAGTTTAAATAGGTCTGAATATATTAGCCTACTGCACAACCAAGGCTGCACAGAGGTGTTTATTTCACGAACATTCAGAACATTATGAAAATAGCATTGTGATTGAAGGATAGAATCTGAAGCAAACGATAAGATTTGCAC